TTTTTTTTTTTTGGGGGGGGGGGGGGGGGTCAAGAATTGTTACTATTTGGGAAACCCTTTGTTGAAGGGGAAACACTTGGAAGGAGAATTCTCTCCTGTTTGTCATTCAACTACCTTCACTACACTATTATTTCTTTCTGTCTATCTCTCAGTTCTCTTTCTTGTTGGTCTGTAACCAACCACCTCTGTTTATTCTATATATTCTCATCATGCCCCCTTTTAAAAACTGGATTTGAAAATACTGGTTCTTGTCATGTTTATTGTTAACATGTGATGGATTCTCTAGTTTCCTTTAATACGTAGGGTTAATAAAAACTGAAGAAAATAGTAATATTTATTTAACAACATATTCCAATCCCCCAGCATTGGCAGAATATGCCTGGAATTACAACTTTGAAGGAGAATTATAAATAAAACTCAAGGACCAAACCACAAAAATAGGTACTGCAGAATGTATATATCAACCCTGTCCAGGCCTTAGGCTGCCCAAAGCATCCTCACAATTCTTCCTTGCTCTTCTCTCCATCACCCCCTCTGTATAACATTTTCTCTCTCTCCCTCAATCGTGTCAGATCATACCCTCAATTCATCATTTGCCAGGTATCCTTCCTGTCATGATCCCTGTTCTCTTCACTAATCAATTCCCAACCGTATCATTTAATGCAAATCCATAATTTTCTTCATCACCCTTTGTGCTTTCTTTGTTGCCATTAAGCCCAACTTTTCTTTGGTCCAAACCCCATCCATTTTTTTTTTCTCTCATCCGAATTCCTTCCATGTGACATGTGTATTTGCCTCAAATAGCTCTGTACATTCAGATTACTTTATTGTTGTTGTCCACATTCCTCCACTGCACTGTAATTCTATAAATGCCCCTTTTCCCCACTCTTTAATGAATACTTTCACATTCAGTAGAAATCCTATTAGCAACATTAGTCTTTGCACAAGATTCCTGACTTTCTGTTGCATTCACCATTTTCCTTATGCCAAGAGTCAAGCACTTGATTTGACTTTTTTACCCAAGAACTCTCCTATTTATGTTGGGTGCCCTCTCACAAGGCTCATTCAGTATAGCCTTCATTACCTTCCAAATCAATGTTGCCTGAGTTGCTTGTCTTTCCTTCCTTCCTGACTGTCTGGGTTCACTAATTATTTCTACATGTGCTAGATCCCTCAAAGAAATCACATTCATAACATCTTAGGGTGAATTGTAGCAGTTTTGATGTTTGCATCTCCCACTTCACTAGCATTGCTTTTGTTCTTTTTCTTTTGGTTATGAATCTTGAAACTGAATGGTAGAGAATTTAACCAATCAATCTTCTGGAAAAGCATCAGGAACAGTTTATCATTTCATAAGCATCCACTACTTAAACAAATGGAAGAGAAAAGTGGCTGAGAACACACACAAAAAAACAGAATTACTATTGTTATGAAATTATTGTAATATTTTATTATTTATTTATTGAACATTGATAAACATAATGCATCAAAGAATTATTTAATTAACTATTGGGCACATGTAATTTTTTATACTGTAGGGAATACCTATCAAAATGGTAGCTGCAGGTGCAGAACACAGTGTAGCTATTACTGAAAATGGAGAACTGTATGGATGGGGTTGGGGCCGATATGGAAATTTGGGGTTGGGAGATAGAAATGATCGTTGGATTCCTGAGAAAGTTTCTTCTGTTGATGTATGTCCTCAAACTGGTATCATCTTACCTTCCTCGTTCTACTCTGATTATATATGGAACATATGTGATTTGATATTGTTTGATTTCTGAAAAAGTTCATCTTGCCGTTTAATAGGAGCAGCATTTCCAATTCCAGGTGTTAAACTTTTGTGATGACTGTCAATTTGTCTAGAAAATATTGTTAAGATTCACGAGTCATTGGTGTACATGCATACTAATGGATGGAAAACTTTTGTTTTACTCCCCTTGCCTAATTCTTGCTTGATTCATGTTGCAGTGTGACAAGATGGTCATGGTTGCTTGTGGTTGGCGGCATACAATTTCTGTTTCATCTTCTGGTGGCTTATACACATATGGATGGAGCAAATATGGCCAACTAGGACATGGAAATTTTGAGGATTCTCTTGTGCCTCGCAAGCTTCAAGCCTTGAGTGATAAGTTAATTTGTGAGGTAGTCCTTTAATTTTAAGCTGAGTTGGTGTCTAGGCAGCAATTTCTCGTATTATTTTTCTTTGCTCTGCTTGTTTAGTAGGTTGTATCTTCCTCCAGTCCCATTTTTTGAATGTTGGATTTTTTCTGATAAGGGAAGAATTGGAAATACTTCTCATGTAATGTAAGGATTCCATCATGTGTTTGTGTGTTGTTAAAGACAAGCAAAAATTGGTCCCAAAAAATCTTGTCCTACCCTATACCCTCGCTCACTGGATGCAATTTATTTGGTGTTGTTTTGTCTGTCTCTCAACTTGACTTGGACTTCTTTCAGGTATCAGGTGGATGGAGGCATAGTATGGCACTCACATCTAGTGGGCTACTATATGGATGGGGTTGGAATAAGGTTAGCAGTCATTTTTTATTCTCCCCATGTTGATGACATTTTGTATCATAACAAGAAATACTGGTAAAAGAATGCACATTCATCTGTGCAGAGAACTAAACATATTACACTTTATAAAAAAACTGGTATAAGACACAAGTCTTTTATTATTGACATGTGTTCGGAAAATTGTCACTTAATTCTCCTTCAATTGCAGTTTGGACAGGTTGGAGTTGGTGACAATGTTGATCGCTTCTCTCCTGTGCAAGTGAAGTTCCCCCATGATCAGGTACTTGAAACTGTAATACTCTTCTTCTCTTTCTATCGTTCATTTGAAGCATTTCAACTTTGTATCTTTAAAGTCAATGTCTATTTTCAAACAATCTAACAACTATTCTATTTTTGTATTTCTGCACAATTTTTGTGTGACTTGGCAGAAAGTAGTTCAGATCTCATGTGGGTGGAGACACACAATTGCTGTAACTGAAAAAGAAAATGTATATTCTTGGGGAAGAGGCACAAATGGGCAACTTGGGCATGGGGATACTATTGACCGGTAATTGCACTTACCACCTTAATAAGTGTGTTTGGACTTTTAGGCATGCTTCTGTCTTTCACTTAATTGTTTTCTCTCCCATTTGTTTGCTGAAGGCACAGATTTTTAAACTCTCTAAATCAATTGGGAGTAGAATCTAATATCATCATGTTGGTAATGACTGCCGTTGATCAATGATCTTGGTCATGAAGTTCTTATGATTGGCATATTGGATGTGTTACGACGTCCATGAAGTGGATGGTTAAATTCTGACTGAGGTTTAGAAAGCAAAATGCTAAAAGCTAGCTTGTATAATGTAGCTGTAAACTAATAGAGTAGATCTTAGTCTTATTACATTCGTTGCACCATCTTGCATCCTATTCATTTATAACAAATTATCTTCAATCATGGGTGTCTAAATATATATTTATGTGTCTTTTATTCACCCTGGAAAGATAAGTTATTTATTTGTGGCAATTATGACCATATTCATTTAAGAATTAAAAAGTTATATCCCAAATCTAATTTATTAACTGGAAACGTAGTTTTGAGTAATGGGTGCATTTCATTACATGTCTTATGTTCATGGTGTGAGTCTGTTATTTGTAGGAATACTCCAAAGATTATCGAGGCATTGAGTGTCGATGGATCTTCTGGGCAGCACATAGAATCCTCAAACACTGAATTAGTGTCAGGTGCTTTGTTCTGCTCATCAGTAATATTGTTCCTTCGTTTCTCAGCCATTACTGATAATACCATTTGCTAGTGTAATTTACATTCATATATTTTATTTTTCATTTAATATTTTATACAATTTGGCATGATGCTAGCTCTTTTGTTTTTCCTTAAACAGGGAAAAGTGGTACCTCCTTATCCGAGAGATATGCAGTGGTTCCGGATGAAACCGTAAGTGTCTCATCTTAGCATACATTATTTGTTAACTCTGGGTTGAGGTGAAAGGTAAATCATATACGTTACAATTATTATGGATCTTAATCATGGTTTAGGAAACCTAGAAAGAAAATTGTAATTTCAACCTGTGAGGACTATGAGAAATATGGGAGCAAACATGGTCCCTTTGACTTGGTATGAGGAGCAATTCTTGCATGAGCATGCGTACATCTAATCAAATGTTGAAATATGTGCAAGATTTATTTTTTTTGTCTTAAGCTTTCTGATTGGTTGTGTCTTTTAGCATTGTGTTCATGTAGGAATTGATTTCGATTTCGAATGAGAGCTTATGCATTTCACGTGAAGATTAGAAAAAGCTTATTATGTCACTAACATGTATGATTTAGCAGGTCTCAGGACAAACTACTAGTTCAAGCAGTGGAGATAGGCTTGATATTAGTGTCCCTGAAAGTGATGTCAAACGTATCCGAGTTTGATATGCCAAATTTCCTTTAGATGAGACTGTTGCATTCTATTCATATCTCTGCCTCATCAGTTCATTGGAAGCTACTCAAATGCCGCTGGTATTTTGGGGCTTTCAACATAGTAATTGTAAATTGTAGTTATATGATAAATATCAGCGACACATTCTTTAGTACACTTTTAACATAATAGGTATCATAAAAAGTATATTAAAAAAATGTGTTGCTAGGATTCCCGGTAGTGAAAGAGATATTATGAGAAACATTGCATATGATCTCCCTATTTTATGTATTATCAATCAACATGGATACATTTAGCATATCCCATTTTTATATTTTTATTTCAAGCTGATTTATGATGCTGTGTTTCTAGATGTTTTGCTTGTTCATTGTAATAAAAACCTGAAAGGAAGGAAATCGTGCATAGTGGAGAAAGTAGCTATCTAAGATGTAACATACTAAGCAGTTGGTGTGTAGTTTGTGGGAGAGACTTCTTGAGATCTTCGACTCAAAATTGACAAGTGAACGGATATGTATAATATAAAGTAGTTTTAGTTACATTTTCTTTCTCTCATTTGTCCTTTTGGATTCCTTTAAGATATTAATTTATTTAGTAATTTTATTGAACTTTCTTTTATAAATTTTGACTAAGACGTTTTATCATTTCAGATTTTTTTTGTTCGATAGTTATCTTTTCTAAAACTTTTAAATAAATTATAATTTAACTGTATTATTTTTAATAAATTGAAAATACAATATGTTATATACAATAATTTAATATTTAAAATACTGTTTTTTTTTTACTTATTTATGAATTTTAAGGTCTTCTGATCTTATTATTACAAGCTTTAAGTAGAAAAATAATATTTAAATATTGATTTAACGTAATGGGTGTATGCTTTGTTGATTATTATTTTTCTTTAATTTCATTTATATTAATAATATTCGTGAGATGTTAATTTTTTTATGTATAAATATAGAATAAAACCAACGAAATTAAATCAAATTGTAAGAACTATAAACTGGAATAGTTAAAAACCAAGTACTTTAGCATCCTATTTAAAAATTCATCGGAACTAATAAATGGACTCTTCTTTGCCCTTAGCTACTGTTTGTGCTACGCGAATAAAAGAAACAGCTTTAGTACATGTTTTTTTACTACTCCAAATTCTATATTTTTTTTGATATTTTAAATGATTAAGTGTAAAACCTAATTTAATCAGAATATATCGATAACGTAAGTACTTTGTAGTTTGTACAGTTATTCAACACAAATTAATAATTTTATGATAATTGTTTAAAAAATCATAATTAACATGGTTTTTATCAATTAATATCATAATTTTGTAGACTGAAAAAAAGTAAATGATTAAATTAGTCCCTAAAATTATACATGATTTTAATGAAATTTTTAAAAATATAATGTGTCACTTATTTAAGGTCTTTCATTTAAAGTTTATATTTTTCTTCTTCTTAAAAGTGGAAATAGGGATGACAAGTAAATCGATATCCGTGAATAATATCTGAAGTCATCCCAACTTTGACGGAAAAAATATTCAATTTGATTTGATATAGATACGGATGATACTTGATTCAATAAATCGAGTACAGGAACAAATATAATACTTGTCCATTATCAGTATCCATATCACTTTAAATATTTAGAAACTTAATTTTTTTTAATAATTTACTTGATATTTACATAATTTTATTTTATTTTAAATTTATTTCAAATGAAACATAATTAATGTAATTTTGTAATTGTTACTCTAAATTAATTTTTCCAATATTTTCTTAAAAAAATATTTAATTAATTTTTAATTAGGTATAGGTTGGGTGCAAATATACCTAATACCTATCGGGAGACAGGAATAGAGATGAAAATTATATAATCGCTAGATATGAGAATGAAGATTGGTATAAGATACGAGAACAAGAATAGGTACGAGGATACCAAAGCTTGTACCCACCTTGTTGCCATCTCTAAATGAAAGTGTCTAAGTACCACGATAATGTTGTGTGGCATGCATGTGATACACATGTTACATGACATATGACTATAAAATACAATATCATTTTAATTTATGAAATCGTGACACTGTCACTTTAGTCCTTAAAATTTTAACTTAATGTTATTTTAATCACCTAATATTATTACAATTCTATTATAATCAAGTAATTATAATTTTAATATTTACACAATAAAATAAATAATTAAGTGTTATAAATACCATGATAAATATATGCATCTTTCAATTGTCAATTTTTATTCAATTTATTTTATAATATATAAATAAAAAAAATTTCTAGTCTATATATAGTAAAATAGAAAAGAATATCAAAGACATAAAAATGTAATTTTGGGAAATGAAAGTAAAGGATAATTTTCGCAATAAAAAATAAAAAATAATTTATGAGAGAATTAATTATGAAGATAAAATATAAATATAAAAAATTAGAAATTATTTTTATTTATGTATTTTAGAAAATAAATGGATAAAAGAGGGAGGAAATTGACAATTAGAAGAAGATATATAGCATATTTAAGATAAAAATACTAGTATTCAGTATTTATAATGCATACGCTAAATGTTTATTATATATAACTAAAATTTAAAAATAAATTATTGATTATGTATATAAATAAATATTGTATTTGAATATATAAATTATATATAAAATTTGTATAAATAATTATTTTTAATTTATAAATTATATTTTAGATTTATGATAAATAATTTATATTGTAGCAAAAAATT